CGATCTGCTTGGGTTGAATCTCCTTGAGCCTCCTCCAAGCTCCCTTCTCCCAGACACTGGGAATTCAGGTAATCATGCTGGATAAAAATAGCTCAGCCTGATGCAGCCCTGATGCAAGTCAAGGCTGTAAAATGCATCATGTTCCCGTGGCAGAAACAGGTACCCTGTTCGGTGCATTTCTCATAGACCAGGGACTAAAATGAGACTAAGGACGAAGGTGCAAAGCCAAGGGAGTCAGCCTCTGGCACCTTTCCAGTAGCAGGAGGTGGGAGAGACATCAGATTCAACACGAGACTGTGCTCAGCAGGTGAGCAGGGAGCTGAGCGCTGCGGAGTTCAATACTCACTACAAACTGGCTATTGACTTTTTCTAAAATCTGCTTTTCATTTAGTGCCATGGATTCGCCTTTCCTCTTTTTTATTCTCTTCTTCTCTAATCTTTTGCAGGCGTACATCTTCCCTGTCGCTCGGACTTGGCAAGCGCAGACCTGCGAATTAAAGAGAACAATTGCTGGGTGAGTCGAAGCAAGCGCCACGTCTGGGCTGCACTTTACTCCTGACGATCTGATCTGATTTAGTCCTTTTAAGGTTAGAGACGGCGGCATAGGCGGGGGCAGCTGGGGAACCAACGACTGTTTCCAAACCTGCTGCGTAGTATTGGTTTAATTACTTCACTTTCCTCCCTCTGCTTCCTATCCCACCTCCTTTTGTCTGTGCAGATTGCAATCTGCTCAGCTAAAGCCTGTCCTCGCCTTCCGACTCCACTGCCTAGGCAGCGACCTCGAGGCATCAGTAAAACACAAATAAGGGTGGGACCCTAATTCCACTCTGAACGCAACAGCCGAATACAAAATAATTCTCAAAAGTGTTCTTTTGAGATTGCGGTGTCATGAGAGGTGAAGTAAAACCGTCAGCAATTACTGAAAATCCGCCTCTGTCGCATCAGGCTCCTGCAACCTGCAGTGCCTGAGAAGTAAGAAACACTCTCAACAGAAACTTTCAGAATTACTCACCTCCCCAAAGCCGCCTTTCCCTAGTACCCTGTACTGCCGAAACGTGTTTTTTGTTACTGGTTGCCTGGAAGAAAAGGAAATAAAAATAAAGCAAATAAAAAAGACACACCGCATTTAATACACTCTCTGTGATTTATTTCAGAGCATACATTTGAAAAGCAAGATAGATAAATATTATATAATCACATTATTTCAAGGTAATCATATCATATAATATATAATTATGTAATTACATTACTTCAATACTATGTATGGCTTGAACTTTTCAATTTCAACATATTAAGCTGTAATAAAATACAACACATTAGTGAGTCATCAGTATAATTTCTGCTAGCATTTTAGGACCAAGGAGGGCTCTGAATCTCCGTTATACAACTCTGGCCTTTGTTAAGCAAAGAGGAGGCCTGAGAGCTTCCAACAAGGTATTAATTCTCTTAATATGGAGGAATTTTTTAAGGGTAGTGCTGGGCTAACACTTTATTGCTTTGCTTGGTCCTCAAGATCAGAAAAAGAGACCCAAAATCCAATCCACCAGAAAATATTTCTGGTTTCTTCACCTTAAACAAAGCAGGAAACTGATGTGAAACAAGGAAAGAAGCAACCCTGGGAACCGGAGCGGTGGGTTTAGGTCGCGTTCGCCGGTGGGGAGAGCAGGAAGCTGGGCTCTAAGCCCTGGGGTACCTCCCTCCTAGGAGAGCATCATGGGCAAGAAGGGAGGAAAAGCATCTCCTTCCTTTCAAGGGCCAAATTAGGGGTTAAATCGGTGTCTTTCTGAGGGCAGAGTGCTCTCGAACGACCGCTAGACACAATCACTATGCGATCTCACAGGATTCCCACAAAATTCTGCGCTACCTGAAGGGCTCCAGCCCTACATCTAACTTATACTTTGTTACCATAGAAGTGTGGTAAAGTGACAGAAGAAGAACCCTAGATTCAGGAAGATTCAATTTTGTGTCTACCGCTCCATCACCGAAGCTTTGCGATTATTATTAGCCGTCGATATGAATATTCCTACCAGCTCTGTTCTCCTCTGGTGGGCAGCCAGTCGGCAGAGGGAGCGCGGTAACATGGCTGTTCCCACAACAGTGATGATCAGGTTGATGACAGTAAGGAATAAATGTTAAAAGTGAATTGTTTCATTCATGTTCATTATTGTTTTTAAAAGCAGGGGGAAGAAAAATATGCAGAAGGCCAAAACTAGAAGAGGAAAAGGGGCTATTTTCAGGCTTCTGTGAAGATACTGCAAACGCTGTTGGGGTTAAAAGCAACCATTAGCAGTGATAACTGTATGCTCAGCAATGTCCCTGGAATAAATGGGCTGTTTAACTCCCCTGTTGGAGCCTGCAGGCTATGAGAAGGCTGCTGATCACTCCGGGCTGCTGACATCTCTTTGCTAATCCTAAAAACAGTTCTCCCAGCTTCTTAAGCTGGACAGGCACATCCAATGCTTGTCATGTTTGTTGGGGGAGTGGAAAAAAACAAATCCTCAAAGCATTTGGGAAAATTCCTTAGCCCAAATGTGAAAAGAGATAGGAAATAGCCTGGCTAGAGATGAATCATCTGGTGTTTTTTTGATTGAAACGGAAGAGTAAATGCTGGATTCAGTAAAGATGGCATGTGGAGCATGTCTTGGCATGGCATGTCTCTCCCCTCTGCCCACCGCTTCCCTTCCCTCTTGTGCAGCAGCTTTGTAGCTTTCCAGGGAGAGGAACTGGCAGAGCTCCTTTGATCTCCGAGGCATCGTGCTGACACACACCGCTCATGGGTCTGGCCCTAACTCATCTGCTGTAATTAATTCCATTTGTGGAAACTAGGGCTTCTTGCAACTCAAGGTCACTGTTAGCCAGCAGTGTGTCTGCTACAGCCCTCATCGACAAGGAGAAGGCAAAGGCTGCTTTCCTTGCAAATTAATACCCACTAAGGCTGCCTGGTTATTAAGTGTGCTCAGAAATGGATAGCCAGTGAGTATGGTGTGAGGACCTATATGCTGTATTTTTGTCTGTTTACAGTGATTTACTAAATGTAATAACTGATCCAGACAGAAAAAGTTACCATATTCAGAGGGCAGCTGAACAGAAAGACAACTGAAGTTGCTGAATGTGCTTTAATCATACTTAATGTGCCTAATGTACCCAATACCATTAAACAGCCAAGCACTTGAGCTTTAGAAGCCAAAACTGGTTCCCTGGTGTCTTGGAGTAGATTTCTGTTTTGTTCTTTACTTCTCTAGCAAGCAGCATTTGTTTCAGTCTTGCTTGGGCACAGTGTTTGCAAATGCAAAAGCCAGAGGCTCGGTCTGTATCTTACGTTTAGCATTCTAGATGCATAAGGGTAGGTGATCCAAAAGTGCAATGTGTCCTTCAAGCTGTGCCATGAGTAGCTCACTGTGACAAGGCCTGCAGCAAAATTGGCCACAGATGTTTCTCAGATCACAGGAGATTTGGATTCCTGTTTTTTATAGGCTGTAGGTCTTGCCCTATTCACTTCCCGTGCACGGGCATACCGTGCAAAACAAGGTGCCCAAGCTGCTTACCAGAGCATGTCACCTTCAGAAGTGCAGTGTCCCTGAGAGAGAAGGGAGTGGCAGGAGAGCATTTATGGGTGTAAGGACATTCATGGAGGATGAAGGACCGCTATACATATCCCAGAAACCAATCACGCTGCTTGAATGGTCACAGCTGGAGACTGAGCTCATGCTTAGATTGAGTCTAATGCAAACATAACCATGCTTTTTCTTCCTGTGGTGAAAGCCATTGCCTCTTCTGGAACCTTCTAGAAATGAACACTTACAAACAAATGCTAAAATTAAGAAAGCCTTCTGGGAGCTTCACTGGAGTACAGCTCAGACAAATGGGGAATGACTCTTGATGGACCTTCTTGAAGAAGAGCAGTGAAAAGAGGGAGAGAATTGTTGCACAGAGAGGGCCATAAACAAACATTTGGATGAAGCACAGCAATGCTCTAGAAAGGCCAAACCGTCTTTCTCTTGAAGGCAAAGGGAGCAAACATGTACTGTCTCAGCTGTCAAATTTCGACCACATTCTAAAGGCTTTGCATGGAAAGTGAAAATAAACCTTTTGTATTCATTTTTAATTTAAAAAAAAACTGTGGCACTTACCTTTCCAACCACTTCCACTGGAGAAACCTGTCGAAGTACATGCTGTTTAGGTATTCTTGGAATGGTTCCCCACTGAGGTGGTCCAGGACAGATCTATCTCAGATGAAAAGGATATATAAGTATTTTATAATCCTGAACTTCGAGCGAAAGAGAAACAAAGCAAGAGGAGAAAATCCAGACTTCTACAGTAGAATCATGTTACGCCTATTTTATTTTGTACTTTATTTTACTCATGGTTTCAATCTAGGAACAAAGTAATATGTTTGATGCATTTCATAACAGGAGGCCTTATACAGGCCAAACAGTAATATGTACTGGTTATGCTTGCTGAAAATTAACAGGGCGTCGCCCACTGGCTTGAATGGACTTTACAAAGGCTGTTAGTCACTAGACAACAAATGCCTTTGCTTCTGTTAGTAAATTAAGACTGACTTAACCCAACGCCCTCAGGAATTGAGCTCCTAAACTTTGAGGGATGTTTACATCTGGATTGAAAATTTCTAGCTGAAGCCCATTTCTGTCAAAGAGGGACCATCGAAGGTGTTATTTTGAGAAAAAAAATCAATTTCAATTCCTGCTATACAGAAGTAGTAATAACGGTGATTAAAGTCAAAGGGCTTTTCCTAACAGCTATATGCTTTGCAGAGTAAAGCAGAGGAAAGCAAATCTGAACACAGATGTAGATTTGTTTCCGGATCAAGAAAAGATTTTGGGGCTTACGCAGTGGATGCAAAGTCTTTTGCATAATCAAAGGAATAAAGGAATTAAAGGGCCAGTCTGCAAATGTGAGCAACAAGTTTGTTGCTTGTGATGGGCAACAAGCAGCCAGAGACCGACAGACATCCCGTAAGGAAGGCGAAGGGTTCAGAGCTAAGAAAAGACGGGCTGAGCCGAGAGAGCTGCCCGAGATGAAGGTGGTCACGTTGTTTAACAGGGGGTTGTTGACCTACTGGGTTTGGTTCTTGCCTTGCTTACTGGGGCTACCACATCCACCTCTGGTGGCAGCGTTGGTGGGGATAAAACTGAGTTTTGGGGGAAAAATGCCCACAAGAAATGAGTATTTCTTTCTTGGTGTATACAGACATTTTTGTGTCTGTACCTAAGGGTATACAGACACATTTCTAGATTCTGCTGGAGGAGGAAATCCTCTCTGAAGGACTGCTCTGGTTTGGGAATGGATAATCTGTGTCTCACTCTGGACAGTTCTAGACCTGACCAAACAATTCACCATGAATAATGTGTCTCCTCAGTTTAGTTCCTCCCTGTCCATGAGCTACTATTCATAAGTTTTTGGAATTTCTCAGCTGTTTGGATTTTTTTTGGTAATAATTCTGCACTGTCAACTTGGAACAGGCAGGTAATTGCACATATTCAGTATTCAGAAGTCGAATTGTTGTTGTCTTCATTAGCTTTGATTGGACACAGATCATGCAGTAGAGCCTAAGTGGATTCAAGCTTACAAAATAAAATAAAACTAAGTCTTAATGACCTTTAACAAATGTACAAACTCAAAGCCAAAATTATAGGGGAAACTGGAGGGGGACAGAAGCAGACAGTCAAAATATTAAAGGTCAAAGCAGAAGTTAGACATATATTCATTTCTCTCGCAGACTGATCTTATCTATGAAGATGTGTCTAAACTAATCCCCGTTTCTGCTCATACAGGATAGCAGACTTCGTATTTGTACGTATGCCTCCCTTTTTTGGTCTGACTGTGAAGTCTTCCAAAATTAACATTATTCAGTACATTTACTAAATACCAACAGCAAGATTTTAAAACTTCCTTTTGACCCAATTTCAGTCCACGTGAAATGATCAGCGTATTTATTAGCAAGGTCTCAAACCTGGCTCATTTATCCATTTCAGCTGAGACGAAGGAATGGCTGTTGGTGAATACGAGCCTGAATGAAGTGGTGCCCAATGCTAGCCGATTCCATTCAGTTAATTAAAAGCTGCACGTATTTTAAAGAACAATAGCTGCCTTTCACCACTTGTTTGCTTTTTAGTTCCCCTCTTTGGCAACAACAAAGTGCATTTGAGAGGGAACTGTCAGCTTTCGAACTGATTTGAGAACTGGAAACAGGCATCGGGGGGTTTGTGTCGAGCACAGCTCTGCCTTTGTCGCTGGGACTGGCACACACAACTGGTGCGAGTTATATGAGCATCTCTACATGACACCAGGTCAATGCAAGGAAACTGGTGATGTTATAAGAGAAGGCCAGAAATAACCCACATCTCCTACCAATGCAAAGAATAACTGAAAACAGAAAAGGTCAATGAAATGAGTCAAAACAATGAATGACAGCGGAGTGAATTTTACAAATCCCCATTACATCATCGAGGGAAAACAAACCGTGCTCAGCCAGAAACCACACGGGACAGCTTGCGATGATCCCTCCTTTGCATATTTTTATTGGTTTATGATCTACTGGCGTGAAGGTACTCGGGTCAGTGTTTGCAAATGCAGATTGCATACCTGGAGCTTTAGCACACAATAGTACAAAGCGCCTCGCCGCTACAAAAACTGATAAGGCTCTTCCCAGACAAAGGATGAAATAACGCACGTCCGTTTAAATGCCACAGACAGACAGAAAGCATTAAAAAAGCCCCATTCTCCTGGTGAAGATTTGCTGGAAAAGCCATGTGGAGCAAGTTTGCACATTCCTCTGTCTAAATGGACTGTATAGCCACTTAATTTTTATTCACTTTGAAACAGAGATGTTTTCTTTGGATACATTATCATTGTAGCTCTTTTCACACAGCATGAAATGCACGGCTGGTTTACTTGGCTGGAACACTCTGTCAAATACCTGAGACACTAAGTGCCTGTGTGCAGTGTATATAATGGCATGGAAATATTTATTATATTTTGTTCAGATGAAATGACTTCACTGCTTGTCAGCAGCGCCTCTAGGATTACGGACGTAAGCCGAAGATACATGCTTCAGGTTCAGACTGAAATGTCTCTCTTTACCTGACACATTCCTTAGGAGCTGCTGACTGCAGCCCTGCGACCGCTGGGTATCGAGTTATACTTACTTTGTACAAGGAGAGAATAGCTCCTTGCAGGGGCTGTTTTCGAGTTTCTCCTCTGTCTGTTGGATAAGATCTTGACTGACTTCGGGAACGCAGGCTGGAGACTGAGGGAGAGAAGAGAGAGGCACATTATCTCTGTGATGAGGTGCAGATTCTTCTCTCTTAACGTGTAAAAGACACATTCATTATTTATGCCATGAGCGGCTTCCATTCAGTTCCAGCGGTTGTGTAAAAGCAAAGGAGCTTTACGTCAAACAGCAGTAAAATAGGATACCGTGGTAACGCGCTCCACATTCCACTCTATCCTCACATCGCTTTTTTGCCTTCTCCTGTACCTTCACCTCCTTGCCCAGCCTCATGAATATGCAAGACCCACTCCTTGCCAATTCTTTGAACTGCTCCCTTGCATCCCATGAAAAATGTGCTGGCCTGAACTGTGTACAGGGCCATTCTCTGAAACAAAAGAGAATTTGCCCAGTGTTTTCACTTCATTGATGATTCATTGTGCTGTCTGAAAAAGCCGTCTTTTTTTTTTTTTTACCAGCAAAGGAAAAACAAGAGCAGAGCATTGGTATTTATTGATCTACATATAAATAATATAAAAAGATGCTCACAAAAATGTCTGATCACCTTAATTCATCATTAGAAGGACAAAAATAATCCAGCAGTTTTAAAATAATCATTTCAAAAAGGAACTCTGCCAGTCAAGCACATAAACTCTTTTCATCCTCTCCTCCCTTTAGAGAGAACGTACATTCAGACCCCTCAAAAAGCCTTTACCAAAGGGAGGTCTTTTGCAGGATGCCCTGATGGTCAACCAGTGTAGGACCTTTGGGAATAGTTATTTATAAAGACAGTTTTTAGGCAATCCACATTCTTACTCATTGACAGTATGCTGTAATTATATAAAAAAGTGTATACGCATGTGTGTATTGTGTACACTTATTTATAGACATTTCTCCTGTTGACGTGAAAGCCCCTTTATATAACCAGTCGGATTTGGGTATTTTCAGTAAATCCAGCCATAGATGACAAAATCCTCTTTCCTTGCAGAAGCCTTAACACTTGGTAAGGTTCCCCATCCTCGGCCATGACCACCAGATGTGCTGAGTGGGTGGGTCACAGCGCATCATCACTCATTCCTGGCCAGATGTTCTCATCAGCTCACCCGTAGTTGGGGATATCTTGGCAAGCGCTGAAATGCATTGCAGGGAGAGTTCAAAAACACCGGGAATGCGGACAGAGGAAGGGGCAGAGGTGGAGCCAGAGAAAATCTCCAGCATGGTGAAAGCTGAATTAAGTCTTTTATCTTTTCCTTCCCACTGCTGAAATGTGAATATGATCCTGGTTGTGACATGAAAAAGTAACTTTGTTCCACTTGAATGTTTTTAAATAGGAACATGGTTTACAGAACTGTCTGTGCATGCTGCATAATGCAGTCTCACTATTCAACCTCGACAGACGATCTGCAGAACGTGCTGGAGATCTTTGACCTCACTGAAATATTTCCTCATCTCCTCCATATATACCTCCATTTCCTCAGCAAAAGATATCTAGGGAACATCCACATTTAATCACAGACAGAGCATATTGCTAATAATTAAGAAGTCTCACAGTTTCTTCAGAGGTAAATGAGGCCCCACATTATCATCTAAAAGATGAAGAAACTGAGACAAAGCCAGATTTTCTCAGCTTGATTGGCCACCGAGGTTGACAGGAGCTGAGAACTGTAGAACAAGGCTCAGTAAATCAGAAAACTTACAGAAATTCCTGACTGTAGATGCCCACGACTAAATTCAAGTCCTAGTTTTAGTTCAAGAGAGTAAGCAGAGGCAAGAGTTAAGCAGTGAAAGAACTAGGAAAAAACCTCAAAAGTCCTGTTTTCCGGTCCTACAGCTACTGCAATGAAACTAATAAAAAAAAAGGGGAAAAAAAAAAGGCTTTTAAAGGAATATTCAGATAGGAACCAAAGCCTAATGATTAGCAGTATTTCAGCTGATTTTGGCTAGGAACCATATGAATTAATATCTGCACTTTATAGCTCGCATACTCAATGGGGTGTGTACACAAGCTCATCGACAGCCCAAAGCTTGTGCGTGGCTGCGTGAGTCCACTGCTCAGAGACAACAGCTCTCTGATTTATAGCATACAGAAACAGCACTGAACTCCGCAGTCTTTGTACTGCTGTGAATCAGGAGTGTCTTCTGACCTGAATGGAGCTGCACTTCAGTAAAATTAATACTAGGGCCTCTAACTGAAGTTACTACTAATTAAATCTAGAACTTGTTCTATATTTATAGGTCAAAATTGGGATCCAAAGCTAAGTACTAACCCCATAATTAGTCATTTAGACCAAGTGACCTGATTCTTACTCATGCCAGGCAACTTCATTTTCCATTGGAAATTCATTTCCCAATGGGAGGTAAGCTGTCTTGAGGTTAGTGTTGAAGATCATGCCCGTGAAGCATTATTATAGGAATAATTCCATCAAATTTTGTCTGAGATCAAAGCACATTGAAATAAAAATTATAAGCACCGGCTAACTCTTTTTCATAAAGAAGAAATTACCTTCTTAAAGGGAAAGGGGAGAAGAATGAGCAAAACAAACTGTAAGACAACGTGAAAAGTATTTTAAAATGGCATGAACTGTGATTCCTCTCTCCAAGTTTACAGTCACGACTCATGGCTGACCTTTGAGCCTTCACTTCCTCTGAACAAACTGAGAGCGAGCTAACAATATCAAGGTAGGTAAAGACATAAATACACTGACCTCCTGTACACGGACTAAAGCCTTACAGTGGAGTGCAAACACTTCACTAAACCACTTAATTTTCTGTAACAAAAGCCCACTTTTTTCACAGGTTGATCGTTTCCAAAGGTTTTATAGGCCCAACAAAACGCTTTGCGTCATGACAGAGCCCTTCACAGTGTTCAGAGCAGCTGCACCATGGGTCTGGGAGGACCCTACCCAACCCTGTCCAACTCTGCATACAGTCCTACGGAGTGTTTGTATGATCCTTCCCGAGATTTTCCTTGAGACTTTGTAGTTCCCACTGCTCCCATCAAATAACCACGACTGGCATTTTCCCTGTTTGAGTACTGTGCGTACCTACAGCCTTCAAATGTTCAGACAAAGCCAGAAACAGTTACAAGCTGAAACGCAACCCACCAACCTACTTTTGCTCCCCTGGAGAACAATTAGGTAGCACAGGTTATGAGTGCAAGAAAGCATTTGGTTCCCAAGAGCAAAAGCTTCCAAAGGTAACACTTTGGCCACTTACAGAAGAAAACGTTGCTTCTTCCCTGGAGAGGTGCAAAAGATTTCTGCAGCCCCGATGAAATGGTTATTAACACCGTTCTCCCACTGCATTATGGGTGATGGCTCTAAAAGCAAATTCAGCTTTTATAGGGGAACAGAGACACCTTTTCCAACATATTAAATGTCCTGTGGCAGCTAGGAGAGCCATACACCATGATTAAGCCCATTACCTCTGGGCGTGTGACAAAGAATACTCTGCTAACTCTTCAGAAACACCTGCAGAAACCTGTTACGTTTTCCTGTATTCAAAACAAAACACTGGGTAGTTTTAACGAGTACAGTCCTGTATTTCCCCTAATGGCTATTCTGTTTCCTGAACACAAAGAAAGTGATTCTTGATCTCACGATAATTTAAATCAGCAACGGTGCCAGTCAAGTCAACAGAGTAGCAGTAGGATAAAGCTGATGGAACCAAAACCAGATTCATGGCCCGAGACTCTGGCAGCGCAAAAAGTGCTTAAACTGATCCATCAACAAAAATTTCTCTCATCACGTTATCCTTTTTGACCAGATAGTTTAATAAAAGTCCAAAAGTCCAAACTACTTTCACCAGATTTTAATAAAAATCTCCTATCTGCTGTATCGTCTCATTTATGGCCAGAAACTGAAAACCTTCATATAAATATTTTGCTGGCAAAGCAATATCTCAGTTTTATGATGCCCTCTTGTTTAATTTTTACGAAAAGAACACAACTGGGAATTGGATTAGTGATTATCTGAGAAAAAGGAAATGGATAGTCAGTGACTTCTGAGTGCCATTAACGCACTGAGAAAAAAATCTCCACTTCCAAATATTGTTTTTTTCTAATTTAAAAGACAAAAGAGATCCTCCCAGCTGCTCTTCCATTTCAGTAAATGGCATGAAAACAGCTGAGATGTCACACACTTGTTTAAGGTTAGTTGTATCCGTGTCCACAAAAGTTTGGAGATCGCTGTTCCTTCCAGCTGAAGCCTCTGGGCCCGCAAGATACTTTTCCTGTTTTGCTGAGTAGTTGATTGCGGCTTCTCCCCCTTCCTCTCCTGTTCACTAGGGTGCAACCACCGATAAGCAGCATGGTGGCTAGGTTTGAAGCTGGATCCATATATCACCTACAAACACCAGGTTCTTGGTGGGAGCCGAGACCATCGCAAGCTGTATGCAGTCTGGTCTTTCTGGCACCAGCAGAGTTTTCTGTGGGAGCCTGAATGCCGGGAGACCCACGCCACGCAGCTCCACGTGTGCTGCGTCTGGTACCGGCCATGTCCCAGCACTCAGCACCTCACTGAAGTACTGAAAAGAAGCGAAATCTGATTCAGCTCAGATGAAAGCTCCCAGGCTGTGTAACTCCCCATTATCTGTTATTTTGAATGTTGCGTTGTATCACTATAGTTTAAAATGTAAACTCTCCTTTTTTGACAGCTCTATAAGTTTTGCTACAGGCTACTTTGCTCAGCCCTTCAAGACTTAGGATTTGTTGGCCTTCACTGAACAGGACAGCAAGTGAATCAGCATTCTCATAAATTCATCTCTATATGTTTGCCATGGTACTTACAACATTTCTCTGATGGTGTTTCCCCCGTGACTACGTGGAGGACACCTGTCCTTTTGTCGATCTATCAGCTAATCAAATTCTTTATAAAACAAGCTGAAATGTTGGCAGTACCAAGGGAGGAATTCAGAAGACCTTCTCTGATAATTTCACTTTTTCATTAAAGCATATTATTTGTTCTAATTTTCCCTAAGGCAGAACTGCCAAAGGTTTAAAATGTGTGACTTCAGTCAAGAGGTAGTGCGCTATAGGTGTT